GGAGGGCCCCCCCCCCCCCCAATTCATACCAGACCCTTTAGGTCTGGTTGGAATGTTAGGAGGAACCCCCTCAAGTTAAAACACAAAAAAAGTGCATGGGGTTCCCCCCAAAATCCATACCAGAAAAAAACGTAAATTCGTCCAAAAAACGAAATTTCGACCGGACTACCGCTAACGAATTTCGTCCGGATCCGCATTCCGAAACTAATTTAATTTCGGACCCGAATCCGAAAAACGAAATAATGCAAAATCCGAATCAAAACGAAATGAAACTAAACAGATTTTTTGCTGGTGCACATGTCTACTGAATAGGTGTTGTGTGACTTTGAAAAATAGCTTTATTCCTTTTCAGAAGCATGCATTACTCCCCATGTATCAAGTAAGTGTTAACTCTAGTGAGCCTGCCAATAATGTTTTAAGGCCACATGATAATGGGTGAAGTGACCAGATATGTCTACTTTCGGGCCTGAGCTTAACCTCCCTGGCGGTATGATTATGCAGTATTTTTGCATGCCAAAGCGGTACATTGTTTTTCATGGAAATTTATTGTTTTATATTGTAGGCCTGTAATTCTTAGTAAATCTTAGGAATAACTTAATTATAAGAAATTATAATATAATAAATAATTATAAATAATTATAAAAAATTGTAATAAAATAATTAAAAAAATGGTCCAGTAAATGGGAATTCTGGGGGCGCTGCCTGATCCGTATCACAGTCCATAGAGTACCAAGTTTGCACACCACTGAGTTTGGTCGCAGAATCGTCTCTTTCGTCACTTTCAGTGTCTGATGACGAATTTCCCAACGAATCGCTATCACTCAATTCTGGATGGACGTTCTCCAGTTTCCAGGCAGAAAGAACAGTAAAAGTGCAGGCAGAGCACTGGAGAAAGCTTTAGGGACAAAATTGAAGTGAAATGGTTTGATACATAAGTGTAATCATAGGAGATTACATTGTATTGTGTGTATATTGCATTTTTTCACTTTTGAATTTCCCGCCGGCTCTGCCCCCCGCTGTGACGACTAAAAACGAAACTAAAAGTCGGATGCCGGCATCGGCCGGGCGCACACAGCAGAGGACACCGCGGGCTCGTAGGCACAAGGTAAGTGACACTTTTGTGTAATCCCGAGTGTGGCTCGGAGTTACCGCTTTTGGCACTGAAAATTAACCCCCAAACCACACTCGGGAATACCGCCAGGGAGGTTAAATTAAAGTATCCCCCAGAACCACCTACCAACTCCTCCTGAAATTCAATTAGTATTCATCCCTGACTTTTGCAGGGAAAGTGTAGATCGGGGTAGGCAACCTCGGCTGTTGTGTAACTACAAGTCCCATTAGGCATTGTAAGACTTTACGTATGTCAAGGCAAAATAAAAAAAACATATTTAGTACAACCAATCAGCTTCTATCTTCAGTTTGTTCAGTTAAGATTTGACAATGAAACAGAAACGCTGATTAGTTGCCATGCACAGCTGCTCCAGATTTTGTCTGCTCCAGTTCCGATAAATTCCCCTCTGAATTCCAAAGCTCATGAAGTACTGCATGCTTCACTTCCAATGCATTACAAAGAACACAGACCTCTCCTTGTCTCTATAACCCTTCCTTGTACACAGTCAGAGAGCACTGGAAGTTATCTGCTTACAAGAGTTAGACCAAAATCAAGGTATTTATGCAGTTATCAAACAGATACAATAATCTGTTTGATAACTGCAGTGGTTTATTTAACAGACCAAAAAAAAAAAGAGAACAAAAAAAGAAAAGATAATTGTTAGAGTTTACATACACTTTAATATAGCTGCCTTTATCTCTGCATCTACCGATCATTTTCACAAGTGAAGGTTCTTATCATGTGTTCAGTTTGAAATTCTCAGGTGTGTGTCAGGTGTATTAAAGAACCTGAAAAACTGGTGTTTCCAGTGCCATTCAGAGAAATAAGTCACAGAGATTTGAAGCAGAAGCAATGACACTGCTCGTCCCTTTACAATTTGTCCTGTGCACTTTGTTAATTTTTTTTCTTCAAGCTCAACTTTGGGCAGGATTACCTTCACAGCAGGCAAACATTCTCCTTCCTCAGGAGGACCTCACTGTCATGCAGGCATACTTTAATGTCCTGAGAATCATTAACAAGGTTATCCACAGAGGGTGAAGAGTTTGGAGAAGGCAGGAGAAGTGAACAATCTAGGACAACATAGTTGAACTGGAAAGTGAGCTGAATTGGAGAATTTCTCCAAATCAGCTATGTTGTCCTAGATTGGTTACTTCTCCTGCCCTCTCCAAACTCTTCAGCCTTTTGTGAATAACCCCATTAGTTTTCATGCCGGAGAAAGTCCAGTTCCTGCTGAACTTCCTGGCCGCTGTAGATCCTAGCGCTACTGTTTCATCTTTGCCACCCCTCCTCCAGACCATTCAGAAAACGGAGCCTAAGGCTGTGTGTTTTGTGAATGGCCAGAAGGAAAGGGAGTGGAGATTCGACTACGAGGTCTTTGAGACCTGCATCACTTATAGCCAGAGTGGTCAGGAAGTACAGTGGGAGCTTGACTTCCGACACAATGTAAGCTATATGGTTTGCAGGACTTTGAATTATGCTTGCATGTCAGGGAGGTCCTACTAAGGAAGGAGAATGTCTGCATGTTTTAAACTTGTCAGGTAATCCTGCCCAACTTTAAACTTACTTTTGCTGGATACATAGACTTTAACAATTAGTTGCAGAAATCATCAGCTATGTAAGAGGATTTTCACACTGTAGTCTTCAGTGTAAAAATGTACACTTCCCTTAAAGAAGAACCCCACTAAACATTATATAAAACAATCATTTAGAACATAGACACATACTATTATAGCAAAAACCACAATCTTTTCTGTGAAAAAAAAATGTAAAACATAACTTACTTCTAGCAGTGCCACCTCTATCTGCTGGGTGCATATGTACAGATTTCAAGCTCCACCTTCTCCCCCTCACTATGTAAAGGCTCAATGGTAGTACAGAGCCAAAAAAAAAAGGCTGCAGCATAACACAACGGGATAGCCATATTTGACGTGAATATTTTCAGTCAGCAGCCCTGACTATTCTTGCAGACCTTTTTTAGATATTGCCAGCAGAATTCAGAATTCCAAATGGCACACCCAGTTCAGCTTTGGACTAAATAAGTAATGACATTTCCCTTTTTTTTTTTTAAGTAGTAAAAAATATATACAGGTAAAACTCGAATAATTAGAATATCATGCAAAAGTAATTGCAGTAAGTGCTGCAAAAGGGGCCCAAACCAAGTACTGAGTACATATGCATGCTTGTACTTTTCAGAGGTATGATATTGTTCTATGTACAATCCTTGTTTTATTGATTGCATGTAATAATCTACTTTTTTGAGGTTGTGGATTTGGGGTTCTTGGGGTTTTCATGAGCTGTAAGCCATAATTATCACAATTATGACAAATCACGGCTTGAATTATCTTGCTTTGCATGTAATGAGTCTATCTCATATATTAGTTTCACCTTTTAAGTTGCATCAGTGAAATAAATTAACTTTGCACGATATTCTAATTATTCGATTTTCACCTGTAGTGTGTATTGAACCTTACCAGAAGCATGCATTATCATTTTCTGCACCTTTGGTAGTTAAAGAGTTAGAGCAATCACTGGCAATTGTTACATCAAGAGCTTAAGAGCTAAAATATTCATATATTGACCTAATCGCACACACAGAAATCATTACCACATCAAAACACTTGTACAGTATAACACTAGCACATGGCACAAAAACCAGCAAAGTATTAACAAGTCCATCTTAGTTGCTCCAGGCAAGACATGGTTTGACCTACAGACAGAGAATCAGCAGTCACTAAGCCATAATGAATGTTATATAGCATAACAGTCATTCTTGTCATGCATATGACAGCCAATAAGAGCTGAAAATAGCACTTTTTACACCAAATAATACATGTGTGCTTAATTGATTGAGCCTAATGTCATTGTTCAGTATTTAATGCCAGGTATCTGTATGACAGCATACTTTGTTGTTTGTTAATCGTTAGAGTGTTACAACATTATGTTTTCCTCTATGCCTGCAGGTCATCTTCTGGTTGGAGAGCTGCCTTTAGGTTGTCCCAAAAGACTACTTGTTCCTCTTCCTCCGTTGGCCACTTGAGATAGGTTTTTGTATTCATGAGTTTGCGCAGTTTGGCATATCTTCTTGGAACAGTTGACCTTTCAATAGGCTCCAGGATAACCAAAATGGCTGTGTCGTTATGTTCATCAAAAAGACGAAAGTGTGAGAATTCCAGCTCATACTTGCACCATTCGCTTTGTACAAAGTGCTCAGACAAGATGAAGAGGGTTTTGTAGCTTTTTTCCATGGCATCAATTATGTTATCAATAATCGCTTTGCCAGGCACAAAGTCTCGCTTATGAAAGCATATCTTGAATGAAGGTTCTGCATTTTCCAGGAGTGGCAACATCATATTTTCCACCCATTCAGAATCTCGTTCACTATATGATACATATGCATCATAAAGGATTTCTCTGTCCAGTACTTTCAAAGGTCTTCTTTTTGCTTTCAGCCAGGCCCAGGTCATCTTCACGTACCACACAACGTGAAAATAATGGCAAAGCACCAATACAATAGTTATTAGTAATATCAAGATTATGCATGTTAGTGTCACAACTAATGTTTTGTGGCACATTAATAGAGGAAGGTTTGCTTTGTCAATCTGATTGCCTCTGACAGACGTAGGAGAATCACACACGTAATTTTGTGGCCAACCTACAAGAAGTTTATGATTGTTGTGTACAAAATCTACAAACTGACAGGAACAGAAATAATTATTGGCCCTTCCATCCAGTCCTGTTAAATTTGGAAAGAAGTTCAAGTCAGACTGGAAAAAGTCAATGAGTCGGTTTGTTTGAATTATAAGCAGATTTAAACTGGGCAGGTGGGCATCAGCTGGCAGTTTAGTTAATCTGTTATCTGATATGTAAAGCTCTTTTAAATATGGCAAAGCAAATATAAATACTTCAAGATTATTGAAGCTCACATCCAATTGCTCCAAAGTTACAGGAATGCAGTTACTGATATGCCTGATCTGACAATTCGAAATATTTAAGGATTTGAGCCTTGCAGGCCATCTACATAAAGGAAGAGCTGAACTGCTAAATCTGTTTTGACTGAGATCAATGCTGGTTAAAGAAGGTACATGTACTAATGCTTCAGCAACTTTGGGTAGTGAAAGCAATCGATTTTTGCTCACATTTAATGTTTTCAGTGAAGGCCAAGCTCCGAATCCGTCATAAAAACAGGATGTACTTTCCAAAAGCAGGTCCGTCAGGAGATTGCCACTCAAATCAAGGTACTCCAACATCTTAAAGGATCTGGAAAAATTGCAAGGCATCAAAAACACTTTGCTATCTATACAGGTAACACTTTTAATTTTCTGCACTATCAAGTATACAAAACTTAAGTCTGAAAAAACATAGAAGTTTGGTATGTACAGATTCTTGATCACTATGGTGGAAAGTGATGAGTTTTCATCCTTCAGAATTGGAGCACCGTGTCCTGTACCCCTTAGTTCACAATCATCCAAAACAAAGTCTGTAACATTTCTGTAGGTGTGAAGAATTTCTATAAGTCGTGCTGCACTCTGGTCAGTTAGCAGACAACTTTTGTACATTAAAACTTTTGCAGTAGTGTCATTCAGGGCTACAAAGGATTCTACATCTTCATTCAGACTGAAAGTCATGTTCCTGATTTCCAAAACAATAACAGATAATGAAAGATCTGATATTATGTTCGGCAATAGGGGTAGATTTACAGTAAGGGTAGCGTGTCCTATAGATTTTACTGTCCTCAGTGTGCCACTTGTATATTGCCTGAGATTTGAAATATTTAAGTATAGGTTATCTAAGCTCAACAAACCATCAAAGTCATGCCCATGGAAAGCTTCAAAATAAGGATTTCCAAATTTCAAATCCTTCAGTGAGGACAGAGTGGAAAAAAGGGAGGTTTCACCAAGTGAAGTATATTGGTTACCCAGCAAGTTTAACCGTTTCAAGCTTTGAAGGTGTCCAAACCAAGTAGGCAACATGCTGGTTAGTTTATTATTAGATATATCCAGCTCTTCAATATTTACCAGTGACTGAAAAGCATTTTGGCTGATAGAATGGATATCATTGTTGTTCACAAGCAGTACTTTCAACTTGTCATATGGCTGTAAATCTGTGTCTGTAATCTCCTGAATTAAGTTGTTAGATATGTCCAGCTGCCGCACTTGTCTTGGCAATGTGGAAGGGATAGCAGTCAAATGTCTCGAGGAGCAATTACAGAAATTCATGTCATCACAAAGACAGGCCTCAGCTTCATGTAGTGAATGTGTTACAGCCACCAATGAACAGATCAAGCAACACCTCCATATGTACCCAATCATTCTGATGTTGAAGCAGCTAAGAAAGACAAATAAGTACAAATTAGATTTGTTAGAACATAGATTTGCAGTAGACTAAGTTTGATATTACAGTTAGGGCTACAGTGGAACTAAAATGCTTATCAGGCCACACTCTGGACTCAACCATTGACTGACCTCTTACAACTGTTTATCCATTACCACTGCCATTGTAGTAACCATGAGGCTGCTGGGTTTAAGGCTGAATGGCCAAATTGTTAAGATTGCCCATTAGTTGTGCTACTATTTTCAGGATTGCCTGTTTTCTTGCTTGCATAATGTCATGACTGCCTGTTTGTTGCCTGCAAATTGTCATAACCGCCTATTTGTTTGCCATGTATTGTCACTATTTTCCATTTCCTGCCCATGTATTATTAAAATAGTGCATTTGTTACCTACATATTCTTACAAATGTTTGTTTGTAGTGTATGTATGATCTGGAATGCCATTGTAATGCCCTCCATATTGGTTTGAAGAGATTTATTTTCACTTCCTGTCGTGTCTTCACTACAGGAAGTAAATAGTAATCATCTCAATAGGGGACACAAAGGGACTGCACAAAAGAACAAAAAAAATATTGGCTTTAGAAATTCTTTAAGACTCCTGTAGATTTATTGCCAGAATTGGGAGTCTTTTGTGGATACTAATTAAATAAAAAGTTGAGGCTAATTTTTATAGACAGGCAATGGCCATACCCACTGACTTAAAATAACTTTTTTCACTTAAAGGATAGCGGTAGTAAATATGTAATAAATACAGGCATAATGTGTTTTTCTTTCTGCATATAGACTTAACCCACCCTTACCTACTCTTGATGCATACTTGCCTGACTCCCATGGCTGCAGCCTGTAGCAATCTTCTTGCTCTAAGCCATACCTGCACAGTCAATACTCATAAAAGTCTATGGGAATGTAATGCATTGATGGCAAGAAAATGTCATCAGAAGGTGCGGAAGATGACTACAGGCTACATCCACCAGATTCAGTTAAGTATGCATCTGGGGTGAGGAAGGGTGGGTTAAAATTCTTAACATTGCTATGTGGCCAGGCTATAGATATTCTAGTATTTATAATACACTTGCTTACAAAACAGGAAAAAGCTTTAAAATAAGCGCCTGCTGACATCTCTAGCTGCAGACACAGTGAAACAATTCATCCTCAGTTGACAGCAGATGCACTGCAGTTTTGTCTCTTAAAAGCTTAGCTCACCCTGTTTCCTTCTCCCAGCATTCAATAAGCAACCTATTAATCTCTAATAAAGACAAGGAGCAGGCCCTCTGGGAGGAGTTTTGCATTTGCTGCCGAGTTGGGCTTCCAGCAAACTTTGCATGTTCTCTATTCACCCAAACAGAAAATGTAGGGGCAAGGTCGCCCAGGTGTTAAAATCCCCATAATGCTTTGGCTGACCTGTGAACTCTGGTCAAGTGCAACATTATAACCAAAAATGAGGCTGGGAAAGTATGCCAGCCCCTCCCTTCAAGAGTCAACTCTTCTAGCATCCTTTTGTCAGTGTGTGTTGGAGTTAGAGAGGGACAGCTGACAGAGCTTGGTGGGGAGACCCAGTTTGTGCTACTTGTACAGTGCTAGTATTAGTATTAGTACAGATTTATACAGTGTTATATTCAGTGTTGCATATTGCCACGGCTACATTATAGTAAATTGCAGTATGGTGGGCTGCATAGAGTGAAGTGTACCCTCTATATTCAGTGTGATGTTCAGTGACATCAGAACTCCGTTATTGTGAATTGCATTGTGATGTAACTGTGTACCACCCAGTGCATTCAGAGTAAAGAGACCCAACAGACCTGTTTCGGATTTTTTCCGGGTCAGCAACAAGTTTTGCTGCAGTTCCCCTTTTTTAAGGATATTTTTTAGTTTTAGTTTTACACAAAAACAAAAAAAGATATAAAAAAACAAAAACAAAAAGAAGGATTTGCGTACTGTTGTTTATGGCTGGTGTTTGGGGTTTTATGTTTTCTTTTTGGGGGAGGTATATTTTATTGTTATATTACTTTGATTGGGTCTTTTGTTCTTTTTGGGTCAGCAGCATAAACTTGTTGGTGGCACACACAAAGCTGCCCTTTGTTAGCACATCACCGCACTCTCTTGCAGTTCAGTTTACTGCACAAAATCCCCACAATGTCAAGTGCACCAAAGCAGCACATCTTCAATTTGGCCCACCAACCATTACCATCTCCTGCTGCCCCACAACCCATTACCATTTCCTGTATATAATGATAACTGTATAATATTTCTTACTTCTGTCTTTAACATTATCCAAAGCTATTTTTATTTCTAGTTGGAGGGCAGAGGAATGATGGGAGCGTAAACCTTCTGATAGTTGTTAGATCTGTTCTGTTTACTACGTCAAACGTTCAACTGACTATTACTGCTAGGTAAAATATCCTGTGTCACAGCAAAAACGACCTCAAATCTCAGACAATTTTCAATTTAAAATGTATTAGATATGGGTGCTGTTGCCTTATGTAAAATTTTAAAAATGTATTACAAATTCAAATGAAGTGATGTGAAGATACGGTGTCACTGATGCTGCCTCCAGGAATCGTAATGTTCGCCGCTTATAGCTCAAGTCATCACTGTGGCATGTAATTTGAAAAACTGGTGTTGTCCCCTTGTCGCCCTCGAAGTACCATAAAATAGGGGTGCCATATACCCCAAACTGTATTTTTTTTATGCCAAGTTCCCCATGGCCTTTGTTTGACAATCCCTTGTCTATTAGCCTTGAAAATAGAGAGAATTGATTTTCAAGATTCGCTTGACTTCGTTAAAGTTCACATTTGGCAAACTATTCAGCGCATTCACTAAAGGCACCTGCCAATTAAATCTAGGGATGCACCGATACCGATACTAGTATCGGTAGCGGTGCCGAGCATTTGGGCAAGTATTTGCCCAAATGCTCCGATGCCTGGTCCAATTATTCCGGTATCAGGAAGCAGGGAGCCGGGAGCGAGTCATTACACGCTGCCCGGCTTCCTGATTGGCCCAGGAAGCCGACTCCATGCTCCCTCGTCACCTGTGACGAGCGAGCATGGAGCCGGCTTCCTGGCCAATCAGGAAGCCGGGCACCGTGTAATGGCGCGACGCCCGGCTTCCTGATTGGACAGAAAGTCGGCTCCATGCTTTCTCGTCACATAGTGAAGCATGGGGACGGTTTCCCTACTAATCGGGAAGCCGGGTGGCGAGTCATTACACGCCACCTGGCTTCCTGAATGGGACTTCCGGTATTAGTATTCGGTATCGGCGAGTAATGGAAACAAATTATCGGTACTCGATACCGAGATACCGGTATTGGTGCATGCCTAATTAAATCCTAGCAAGGCAACCCTAGCAAGCCAATCACTATTTGTTGTAGAACATGTAAATATTTGAATGTCCATATGACCACAGTCCTATTTTAAGGGGGGGCTACTTTCCCCAAAAGTGCACTTTTCTTTTGCTCTTCCTATTACATTTTTAAGATATACAAGTAACCCCCTAAGGGTTGTACTGCATTTTACTATAAAAGCCTTACTTCCTCACCCAGTTTCACAGATTTCTGGCCTTATTAAAACCTCTGCAACACTACAGTGCACAACTACTGCTTATGGGAATGGGGGGAAATATGACATCCATCCCTTTGGCAAAGCTTCAGTCTAGCAGCCAATAGCTAGGCCCGAGCACTGAGACATGACCAAGGGAGTGATGTCACCACTCTTGCTGGTCACAGATGCAGCTGATATCAGTGCTGACTGCGACCGAGAGGCGACGAGGGAGCACAGGCAAGGTGAGTATGAGTGGGTCAGGAGGGACCTTTGCAGAGACACTGAGGTATAGGGTATCTTTGAAGCATTACATTTTTAATTTGTCTGTCTTGTTCAATGTTAGAGTTTAATAATAAACTCAGTCTAGGTGTGCCAGTTTGGATATGCATTGTTTAGGCACTATGCAGTGTCTGGAATTCCAGGTTCAACATTCTTTCAGCTACAGCAGGGGTAGGCAACCTCAGCTGCTGTGGAAATACAAGGCCCCTGAGACATTGCAAGACTCAGACTGCCACGGGGATGACTGCCAGAGGGAAAGGAATGATGGGGTTTAGCAGCTTCACCACAGCTTGAGTGCCGAGGTTGCCTACCCCTGAGCTACAGACTCAGAGATTTAAGGCGTTTTTCAACTTTTGCAGCCAAATTGGAGAAAACCCCACTACTGTATATGTTTGTTATTTGTTCCCATTTTATAATTGGGCTGCAAACGTGGACATGCACTTTAAATACAAAAATTGTCCACAGATGATTACTGAGCAATAGAAGCAAGAATTACATTGAGTCTCAATCTGTGTATTAGTCTATAACCCTGCGATTTTGGTTCACATGTGACAGGTCTGCTTGAATGTGAAATATGACCGGCTGATATGGGCTACATACCTATTTTTACTTACTAGTTTTCACGCATCAGACCCAAAGTGAATAAGATCTAGATCAAAGTGAAACTGATGAATTCAGAAGTAGGATCTGCACAGCCAGGCAGAGCAATATTACAGATCTAAACACAACCAGAACTTCTTTTTCTCAGCCGTCTTGTCTCTTTGTGTTTATAAAACACACATTCTTTTTGTTACCTTGAACTCTGATAGCACAGAAAGTTCTGTTTTAGGTAGAAAAGACTGGAGAAAGATAGAAAACCAACCTGCAAACTTCTACGTAGAGCTGCTTTTCTGTATGCGTGTGCTCCCAGGGTGATTGTGCACTGAAGATGACGGAAAGAGGTTGTGAAAAGTCAAAGCCTGGCACTGGTACAAGTTCTCAGACACAGACAAGGATCTTGTTGCAGGGCTGAGCTGTAACCCTCAATTGTGGGCGGAGGGTAGTCAGTGTGGATTTGTTATGATGGGGAAATCCCGGTCTTCTGAATGTTTTCCTCAGCAGTATGTATGATAATGCATAGTTTTACTGCTGGCCATTATGATCAGAGCAAGGAAATATGCTGCTGTTAACATTATGAGTTTATTGACTTTCTCCTGCACAGTTCATAAACAGAACTATTTGCTTGCTTGTTAATGAACTGGGAGCAGCAGTGTATACAATGCTCACATTATGGGACTATGACAGCCTCATTGCTTGCATATGCTCTGTTGTTTAAAATGAAATATGCACTTACCTTTAATCCTCATGCTCTGGCTGTTGGTCCAGGTCCTGCTGTGAGCTGGTCTTGTGCTGTAGCCTGTAAAAGAGAGGTACAGGCGTGTTAGGTTCAGTTGGAGCCGACGGAGCATCAAAGCATTTAACCCCCCTTAAATGCTTATATGTGTCCTGGTCTTTTTTCAAACCCAAACCGTGGTGGCTAGGTTTCTTTGTTATTGCATTGTTTGTTAATCTGTTTTGAGTCATTGCATTTGGAGGCTTGTTTTATTAAATTTTAACTTGAGTCGTGTTGGCTGAGCTCTTTCTTATAGTTTATATATTAATCTTGAGTTGATTTAAGTGATAGGTTTTGTTTGATCAATAAGGGCACGTGCCAATTCAATTCCAAAATCAGTCTTTGTCTTTGTTTATTAAGAATGCTTATTATTATATGCGATAATATGTTATAAAAAGGTTGCGCTGCCTATAGTCCCATGTTTGTGACTGTGTCTGTTTGCCAGCTAAATGTACATTTCAACATTTGGAACCGAAGATACCTGTCAGAAGAATCTTTCTATCTTGATACTTGATATTGAAGGTTTATAATAAAGCCCGTGACACACTGCATACGAAGCCGTGCAGAGCAAAGCAAAGCTGTGAGGCACGGACGTTCGCATGCAGTGTGTGAGCTGAGCGTGGCCAGATGAAAGACTGCATCTTCAACCAATCGGCTCGCGCGAATAACCGAATGGATTACGCATCCTGATGTGCGGGTTTATACGCGTGAGCCGTTTGGCTGAAGATGACATTTTTCAACTCGGCACCATCAGCTATGTAGAGCGCTCGAAAGCTGACGTGACGGAGTAAAAATGACATGACGAACTGCACGCGAAGGTCTGCGCACCACCGCTCCATGCTGCTTCGTGTGCAGGCTTAAAGGGCATCTGCCCAGGGCCCTCTGAAGGGGTAGCATGGGTAAGGTCCCCGAGACTTTTTCTAACAAAATTCTCTTGAGTCCCAGAGCGTTTTTGTTATTGTTTCGGTGCTATCTCCGTACCACACATTTTATGTTTTAGGTTTTGTACTCTACAATATTATACGTGTTTTTTTTTCTCAGGACAGATAGGGCTTCAATTTGGTAGCAAATTTTGATGCATACACTTTTATCTCCTTGGTTTGTATTGGAAATAAATATTAAAACATTAGAAAGAAAAGCATTTTCCTGCCATTTTTCCTAATAGAATGATACAATGTACATATAATTTGTGCCCCCCATATATTTACCCCCAAATATAATCCTTTTACATGGCATTGTATTGTAACTGTGCTGTCTGCCCATATGCTGTAAACTGCTGCGCAAACTGTTGATGCTATAAAAATAATAATAATGATCAAAAAGGCCTGCTGATTTAAATGATATCATATTAGTGCAACATATGATGAAGCAGAATGATAAGGTTCAAAGTGAACTTTACAAGATCTATTTTCACCTTTCAACACTAAATTAAGGCACACGCAGGGGGAAAAAATGGTTTGTTATTGTCACATTGAGATAGGATTATTTCCACCAAATGCGTTTTGATGCATTTTTAAATGCATCGAAAACTTATCTACACAAAATATAATGATTGTCAATGTAGTCATTCACACCAGTGCATTGCGTTTTGGAAAAATAGATCAGGCTTTAATAGTAGGAGTAATGGTGCCCCTTTAAAAAAAAAAAAAATGCATGTAAACTCATATAAAACATGTGTGCATTTTTTATGTGTATTTGGTGCAGTTTTGTTGGGAACAGGCCCTTAGTGGAGTTGATGAGTGCACAAATTAACATGACGATTACTATTTCACAGGTTTGAAATCACTAAAAAATGTGAATAACGTTGTGTTTACTTATGTGAGCATTTGATGCTTGCACAGTGAATGCAAAGTTCAATGCAGGAAAACATTTTGTTAATGCACACAGAAAGAGTGAATGGGCCCTAAAGGTTTCTTTAATTCAAATTTAAAATAATGAAAGGATCATGCATAATATGCAAAATACATGTCTATATACACTGTGTCACGTAACTGGATGAAAACTAAGATGAACGGGGGCTACCCTTGTACCGCTAGTCCCGCTCCCCTGGAGATGGGGACAGGAAGAGTGAAGACTCAGGGAAGCACAAGTGATGATTTTATGAGCTGATGGACCTCTTGTACCAGAGCTTGAGAGCAATGACCTGAAGACTGAAGCTGGGGGAACCAACTTGAGGTAAGAACTGGTATCACAGGAATACCTTTCTTTTTAGTCCTGACAATGATAAAGAAAAGAAATATGTACAAAACTTTTAAAGGTCCCTTTAAGAAAAACAAATATTCATCGTTGGAATTTGATTTCTACAATTTGTAGGTTGCTGCAAAAATGTCTGCTGGATACATCGGGGAAACATTAAATCCAGATATAAGATGTTTGCAATAATAATCTTTCTGTCTCTTTATGGAATAAGTACAGAATAATACCCATTCAAAACGAACTGTCATGTCCAAAATATTACCTGCGTGTGAAAGGTAAATTGGAAATCCCAGTTGTTGGATTCGCAGACTTGTTGTGCATACTCACCAAAATATATAGTTGGACCAATCCAATCCGTAACAGAACATTTCTAATCCTGTACTCTACCACGCTGTACAACACTCAGAAAAAGGAGAGTTGAAAATTGTATTTGGGTTCTAAGAATACTTGTATATGGTTTCTTGTACGTCTGAGTGTGCACATTCATACCGTTGACACAGCACCATTGTACTCAAACAGGTAATCCTTTTAGCAAAGAGATGACAAAAATACTTATTTACTGGAATTGTGCAGTCTTGTCAGCTCTACAAGTAAGCAGGCTAGTTGGCATTGTTTAAAATATGTATTGAATGACCTGCTAGCAGTTATCTATTACCACTGTATTCTGTTGTATTATGTAAAGACACGTCATATAAAAACTCTCGTATTGTATGTTTGCTTGTACCGCTGTGCTCAAACTAAATAAAGAATAAAAAAACTCATTGAGATATTTTTCCAGATTGGCTTTAAAGTTTGGCAGACCATCCAAAATCATGGTTTGCAGTAAGTATACCGATGTTTTGTTTCAGTAGGAGGATACTCTGTGATTAGATCGAACAGTAACCTCTGTATTACTTTCTATTTTCATTTTTTCTGCTAGATTTATTCTCAAGGCTACAAGAGGTAAAAAGAAAAGACGTTTACGTATTAAATAAATGTTTGCTTTGATGCTTCCCTTAAGTAGGTTATACACAGGGATAATTACAGGTATAGTTATTGCTGAACTGACTGGAATTCGCACAGTGGGTGCTGCTTCCACCCAGCAACCCTTGATTGGCTGATCGAAGGAGCAATGCTAAAGCCTGATGAAGGGACCCTGTGTGGCCCCGAAAGCGCTTGTTGTTTATATGACAAGGAACTTCAATAAATTAACATTTGCTTATCCTAAGAAGGATTTTGGTGTGCTGGTGACCTCTTTACACAATTGCTGATATTTGCAGCGCCAACCGCAGTCATCCCACCCCCCACCCTGCACTACAAGTGATTTTTCGGTAAGGAGTGCAACAAGGAAAAGTATTTATCATTTCCATAAAAAGTCCCACCAAAATCCTCAGCACCAGGCCTGTGATGCCCTTAATCCGGCCCTGCATACCCAACCTTCCCGGATACACAGTTTGTGATCCTCAGCTTCCAGCATGAAAGGAGTAGTATGATTGGCACTCCAGCAAATGCTAAATTTGCACTTTATTGAGCTACAGTAAGGCATAAACAATGGCTGCGCATTTCAAACAAACTCTGTACTTTTTACAGCAACAAACAATGACACAAAATATCCCTCGTATAGTCACCTATTAAACATAGCAACATAGTAACATAAGACTGTATGTTAGCTGACAGCTTTTTCCCCATTCAGAGCATCTTGTAACAGGTTAAAGTGCCCACACTCCTTGCGATAATTGTACGATAATCGCATGCAATCGACTTTCCGTCCGATAATCGCAAGGTGTGTGGGCAGTGTGCGACTGACAGTACTCTACAATCGTACGACTTTCGTCTTTGAAGCATGTTCGAAAATGTTACGTTAGTCGTACGATGATCGTACGGTGTATGGTGCTGTCGTCCGCCAAAAGTCGTACGATTTGCATCAGGCATGCGCTGATAATCCCTAGACGGAAGTGGATGTTGGAAGACTGGACCACAGCCAAGCATCCTTCTCTTCTCAAGCACATTGCCCTGGACCACTGGATGAAATATGTCAAACATGTCCGCAAGAGGCTGTGTAAATGTTTGACATGTGTATGCGAAATGTTCACAGCAAACAATATTGTCCTCCTCGTAACCAAGAAATCCTTGACGATTTAAACTGCTTTTTGTTCCACCCACATATTATGTTCACCACACCATGGCAATGTTGCCAAAAACATGTCTAAACATATAGAAATATCAAATGATGAGAAGGGTGGAATTTAGCAAGGTTGTTGTTACAAATGATATGAAGTTAGTAATGAGTTAGGTTATACCCATATTGTTCATGAATGCAGTGTAGGCGTTCATAATAAAAGTGAGGTTAGTTGACACCTATTCATGTGTTTTCATCATAGTTATTGCGCTATTTAGAACTTTGCTGTAAATATATTAGCACCCTATGAATGATGCTAGTATAATGTTGTTCATTAATG